GGTATATCTGAAGCAAAGGTTTCTGAGCGATGCTCCAGAATGCATTTCGCCGCTAAAATTATCCCCCCACACCACTGACTTGATTACAGACGTGAATGTGGCAGGCCGTCCTCGGGGCTTCAGTGTTTATGAGCTCTCTTCACCTGTAAGAGCAGAATGGCTTTGAACGTGAGGATGTACATCCCAGAGAGACGCCGCAGCAGGTCGTCCTGCAATCACTACAAATCGGTAAGACCTCTATGCTGTGGAGAGAAGGCTATTCCTGCTAATATCTGTAGGCGAGCAGCGGGAGGGTATATTTAGACTCATGCAGCAGGTATAGATATGGTCCAGACTTGCTGCGCTATTTACCGCAAGCTGAGCTGAAGCTCTTTTGAGATGTTTGTGTGTTGATTGAGGTTTAGATTGGCTTTATGTTTAGGACTATAGAGATTGCACCTTCACGCAGGTCAGCTACATGTAAAAAGCAACAAATGGTAAATGTTTATTCACTTATTTAAGACTGGTCAAATTTCAGTAATGTTCTGTATCATTTCAGTGGCATAATATTTGCATATTTCTACTTCTTTACTTCTTATATTTCTGGTCTCACAGATTAATGTTATTCCAAAGAAAAACAAATGATCGTCTTTAAAATCCTCAAGTTAAACGACAATGAAAAAAATCAACAATGCATTGTATTTTACAGATGAAAGTAATTTTAGAGGCCAGAGGTAGAAATCACTCTATCAAGTGCAGAGACATTGACTACTTGTGTCTCTTGAATTGTTTATAATTGAGCTCATTCATTTATTTAAAATACTGTCTCTAGAATATTTTGAGGTTAAAGAATTTTGCTGCATAGTTAAACTATATTCAAAAGTATCTATCTATCTATCTAGTCTGTCAGCATTTACTGGGAAAAATACTATGGAAGTTAATGGGGACCAGAAACTGTTTAGTTGCCCACATTTTTAAAAACATATTTTGTGTTCAGCAGAAGGAAAAACATTTATAAATAAAATAAAATAAACGAGTGTGAGTGTGAGTAAATGATGACGAAATTTAAATTTTTGGTGAACTATCTCTTAAATGTTGCTCTTGCTTAAAAATGATCAATTTCTTAAAATTTTAATTTAAAAAAAGTTAGTCCACAAGTTAAATTATTGCAATATGCATGGAAATGCATGCTTGTCTAAGCTGTTAGCAGGGCAGTTATCTGACCTCACATTCACCTCAGTAACTAATCTTTTGTAATTACTTTAAAGTACCATATTATTTAAAACCTCTCTCGTGAACCTGAATGGATGTTCTGTAGCTTCTGCCTGTGGGAACAATTCTGTGTCTGTGACTAACACAAACAGCCCTGTGATTAGTGTTTGACATGAGAGTCTTTGTAGTTTAACAGTGTTCTACCTCCCCGCTTTGAGCTTAAAGATGAGTCCAAGTGACAGCTGTTGCTAAATTGTTGAAAGTTACCACACTCAGGAACTGCCGTTTGATATTCCCCGTCTTACTCACACAGGTAGTTAAACACACTCATCAGCAAATGCGTGTAAGAGCCACCTGTTCAGTTCTCCAGAGTTGTTCAGTGACAGATCAGCCCTAAAGGCATGTCTGAACTCCGAGAACAGCTCACGCTCGGGTCAAGAGTGGACTGTACAAAGCCACGAGCTCAGAAGAGTGCAGAAATACTAGATGCTGGTTTGACATCCACACAACAAAGCAGGATTTGTATGGGGCTGGATTTCTAAGTGCTGCTTTTGTGTGTGAGAGAGATGAGGGATTGTCACAATAGTCTTACAGCAGTGGGACTGAAGCATCGTGCCTCAGTGACTCAGAATATAAAGGTCAGTATATTTCACAGCATAACTCATCGTAAGTGCTGATTCAGATGGCATGTATGGATGCTTGTGAGTAATCAAGTGTTTGTTTGTTTTTTGCTTTAAAGGAAAATGTCCTATTGAACACTGCTTTCATACAGATACATACACTACATTAACTTCATAAAGTCAGTTTTGGACATTCATTTACTGTCTTTACACATAAAGTAAAATACACAAAGTATTTTTAATGCTTTTTTGAAAGAAGGCTCTTATTCTCACCAAGGCTGCATTTATTTGATTAAAAATACAGTAAACACAGCAATATTGTGAAAAATATTAAAGTTTAAAATAACTGTTTCCTATTTTTTTATATATTTTAAAATGTAATGAATGCAAAGCTGAATTTTCAGCATCATTACTCCAGTCTTCAGTGTCACATGATCCTTCAGAAATCATTCTAATATGATGATTTGCTGCTCAAGAAGCATTTCTCATTATTATCAATGTTGAAAAGAGTTGTGCTGCTTAATGTTTTTGTGGAAACTTTTTTTCAAGATTGTTTAGTGATTAGAAACTTTAAAAATCTGCATTTATTTTAAATAGAAATATTTTGTAACACTATGTAAATGTCCGTACTGTCACTTTTGATCAATTTAATGCATCCTTGCTGAATGAAAGTATTCAGTTCAACTTTTACAAAGAAAATGCATGGTATTGACAAATATATAAAAAAATCATGATAAATATTCAAGAAAATCTGTTTAATAGTTAAATACTTTGTTGAACAAATACTTTTTAGCATACTTTTTAAACACAGTTTTAGTGTAATTCTACATACATGCCAAAATTGTATCAGCCAGTCCAACATTAAAAAAAAAAAAAAAACATATTACGGCATTGTTTCAAATGTTGATATGGTCGTAATTGACTGAAAGGAATACTTAACAGATAAACTGAATGCAATGCATGTATTCAATTTGTATCTCAACCGTTTGTTGCTTGAAGGCATGTTTACCCTTGCCTTCACTTCACTGCCTTCACCTCACCTTTAATTACATCTGACTCATTTAACCCACAAACCTTCAAAGCATGAGCTGGATTTGTACATTTCTCCACTGACTTTGGTCATTGCTCTCCATAATTATATGGGCTTTGTGTGCCGTTTTATGTCTAGATGACTCCAGCGAGAGCGATCGAGGGGTAGCGTGTGATGTGTTTATTTTGATGGCACAGGGACTCGGGGTGCACCTGTTTTTCCCATCAAGAAAACCGATTCCTCACATGAGTAACACTGCAATAATACACTCAGGCTTTATTTAGTCATCAAACACACAACACAAGCTCTTCAACCCCCGTTGTGGGAATGAGTTTGACTACTGCCTGGCCATTGATTATGTGCATAAAGCCTGCAAAACATCAAACAAACAAAAAAACAAGACTTTTCATTCATGTTAATTGTGGTTTATGCAATGTTATAGTCTATATTGGCTATTATTTTATTTCAGATTGTGATACTAAAGTCAAATGGGAAAATAGCATGGTATTTACATGTAAGTTCAAAGAATATCATGGTATGTAATAAAAACTACAAAATAATAATAGCTCAGTCATTCTTGAGAAGTGGGACAAAAGAAATGAAACTACGTTTATGTATCTTATATGTACTAAGCTACTGAGCTATGCTTTGATACAACCTCCCAACTTTTCTCTTTTTTAACAAAATGTGCTTTTTTACCTTGGACTGTGTAATATAATTTCAGCTTTATCTTTAACAGCATTCAAGATGTTTTTAACATTTCAAAACACATTCTCGTGTTAGCAGACAGATTACACTTTCACACGGGACCAACAATTCCACAACAAATATAAAATATCATAATGAAATATTATCAAAATATTCAACTGACCGAGGTGACACATCTGACGGCGTTGACACATCTTACGGAGGTGACGAAAAGCTGAATTTGTAGTCATTTTAACTATCAAATACATTGAATCAGTCAATTACTGTATTAAAACAAACACATCAAACAGTGAGTATGTTATTGTTTATAAAGCTTTTATTCAAGAGTCACATTGAAGTATTTTGATATATAATTGGAACACAAAGTCTGGTGACATCTGACGGTGTTCACAAATTTGGCATTTCTTTCCCAAAACCAATGGAGTTCATGTAGTAGCCATTTAATTTTTTTCTGTTGATGCTAATGTAACCTGCTTCAGGAGAGTAAAATTATCGAAATATTTCAAATAATTTCCTCAGAAATTGGAAGATGGTGTTGACAAATCATGGCTGTGACACAGGAAATATTCTGATATTCCCTGATTTTATTACATTTTATTGAATATCTGACGGTGTTGACAAAAAGTGGGGACGCAACTTTAAAATCTTATGAAACATGCATGTGTCATTAAAAAACAACCTTGATAGGAGATATTATTAAGTGTTGCTTTTGATAAAACAAGCTCTTTTTCATCATTAAAAAACATTTTTATCCATTTTATTGCATATGAATGATTGAACCCTTCTCTGTGGACACACTGTTTTAGATGTAGTGAGAGGACATTAAGACACACAGATTTGGTATAATAATGAGAAAATTAAATTGAAGGTGATAATTGTGTTAAATACAATCTATTTTTATTTTTAAACCTAATAGCAGTTACCTTTGTTGGACCTGTTTTGTCCCATTTCTCAAGAATGACTGAGCTACTACATGTATAAAACAGCCATGGTCATATGTTTGTTAATAAATGTACTTAAATGCTTGAATTAAGTTAAATATATGTTTTATGGAAGCTTTATTTTCCAAAATAACGTGACGGTTTTGGCATCTCCGTGGTTTTTAATGCTTGTTGCACTGCTTGTTTGCCGCTTTCCTTTACTTGTAAGGGGACGCGGGAATGTTTTTGGTGTTCAACTCCAAACATGACTCCTTTCAAACCCATTCAGAGGTTTAATTTAAGCTCCCTCTTCCTGCCCCAGTGAAGGGGCTTTTCTGTGATGTCAGACGGGAGAATTTGACCATTATTGGTGCTGAATAACTTGAATGAGGCACAATGGAGCGGATTTGAATAGAGAGCGGAGAGACGCGGTGCTCAGTCCTTGCATGAATGTCGTGAATCCTAGTTGTGTGAAACTTTTTTTTTTAATGGATGGATATCTAAGCGAACTTTCTCCTTTCGTGTTGACAGATCTACACGGACTGGGCGAATCACTATTTGGCCAAATCAGGACACAAGCGGCTGATTAAAGACCTGCAGCAGGATGTGAGTGACGGCGTGCTTCTGGCTGAGATCATCCAGGTTATCGGTGAGCGTGAGCGATTCACTCTCTCCAAAATAGGCAATGAGTCGATTGAAGATTTTCTGTGCAAGGTGGACATGGGTCGTCCCATTTTGGTGTCTGCATCAAATTAAATGTACAAAAGCGATTTTATATACACAGAAAGCATATTAGATGGAAATAAAGTGTTTCAAATAACTTTTGCGAAACTAAAATGTCAAAATATGGGTGAAATAATGTTCCGTCGTCATTCAGCATAGGCTAGCACATGTAAAAATTAAACAACATACTTATGCTGACCCGTACCTATTAAAATACATTAAAGAAAATAAGTGATTATACAACATTTTATTGCATTTTAAATGATTAAAACTTCTTGCTGACAAATGGGTAAAGCCTAGTGTTTGAAGGATAGTGGTAAGGATTGGTAGGCTAAAGATTTAAAATGACACTTTTTGTGGACTGTACTGTGATAATTAAATAGAGGCTTTTAATTGTCCTAAATATGCCTGACAAGATTTTTTTGTTATACGAACTTTGTTTCACAGACGTTTTAGTGGGTGCCTTCTGTAAATCATGGTAAAAATGTATGATAGTCATTATTTTTTCCCCTCAAAATTCAAATTCAAATTGAACAGGAGTCACATTCTTACAGTCACAAAATATCATAAATACATAATTTGTGATGTATTATGTATTTATATTTAAGCAGTCCTCTTGAGTATAAAGCATGCATTTACTTTACTAGAATTACATTTGACTAAAAAACTACATTATAAATACATATTTTGCCTAATTTATTTATTTATTCATTCATTCAGTTAGTTCAGTCATTTTGTGCTCAATTTATGGATTAGTCTAAAATGAGTTAATAATATAATAGATAATGTAATATTGCATTACTAGATAATCTATTTATGTGTAAGCAGTCCTCTTGAATTCAGAACCTGCATTTTCTAAACTAAAATGTAATTTATTATATTAGAAATACATTTATAATATAACTTTACAACTTTTCACAACTACTTTTGCTATTGTAAATGATGATACACTGTTTCATTCATTCATTTATTCATTGTAACTGCTATTTTGTATGCTATTTTGTACAACCTAGTAAGAAAATCGATCCCTGTCAGCAGCTCTTCCCATGGACATGTAAAGTTTTGCAGTACCTCTGTCCTCCTAAAATGTGTTGTAAGAGCCGGAGAGCATTTGGTTACTTAAAAGCAGAAAGCACTGTACAGTGTTCTGGGGTGAAGTGGTGTTAAATGACTCATCATCACTGTTGTCATCCCACTTTGTCCTCTTGTGTTTTCTACATCTTAAGGGAATCAAACACTGGCCAGTTGAAGCTGAAATCTGACCTGCCCTGTCTGACAGACACAAATGTTGCATGCAACCAATGACATACTTCACATATATTTCTGTTAATGAGAGCTGATGGCTTTTGCCCTAAAGTTTTGAAAGGAAATTTTGAAATAAGAAAATGCTTGAATTGGTGACAATAAGGACATTTAAAGCTCACACCAACTTACAGGGGCCCCAAAAAGTAAATTTTGACCTTTGCATTGATAAAATAATGATTAAGTAGCAAATTATGTGGTAAATTGTAGTCTAAAATAATAATAATAATAATATCTCAAATGTTTAAAAAACATTAGAAATGAATTCTGAGGTCTAATTTGTTTGCAGATGCCGCTTTGATAATTTTAAAAATCTAATGCAGGGCAATTAATGCATTCTTATTTGTGGCTTAATTATTTTGTGAACAATAATTCAATTATGGAAGCTTGTTTCTGCCATGGAATAAAAAAAGAAAAATGATTAATATTTATTGATAAGGCTTTTTATCTTACAACTCTGACAAGTTATGAACTCATAATTGCGAGTTCACATCTCACAATTTTGAGTTTTTTATTTGAATTTTAAGTTTACATCTCAAAATTCTGCTTTTTTCTCCACATAATACAAATAAAAAGGTTATTGTGACTTTTTTCTCTTCAGAATCGCAAGTTTAATAATTTTTTCCCTTCTTGTGAATTTCAGAATTTTTAGAAAAAAGTCTGAATTGTCAGATAAACGCAGAACTATAAGAAAAAATCAGATTTCAGAATCAGAAGAGCTTTATTACCAAGTATGTTTACACACACAAGGAATTTGACTTGACGACAGGAGCTTCCAGTGCGAGTGCAGAAGAAAGTACAGACATACATAGGAATATTTTGTAAAGATGTTGGAGGCTGGGCAGAGGTTTCTCCTGAAGTCCACGATCATCTCCACAGTTTGGAGCGTATTGAACTCCAGGTTGTTGTGACAGCCAGCTCTTTAACCTCCTGTCTGTAAGCAGACTCGTCTCCATCCTTGATGAGGCCAATGACTGTAGTGTCGTCCGCAAACTTCAGGAGCTTGACAGAGGGGTCCTTTGAAGTGCAGTCATTCGTGTACAGGGAGAAGAGCAGTGGGGAGAGAACACAACCCTGAGTGGCGCCAGTGCTGATGGTGATAGTCCTGGATGTGAGTTTGCCCAGCCTCACTAGCTGCTGCTTGTCTGTTAGAAAGCTGGTGATCCACTGACAGATGGAGGTGGGCACAGAGAGCTGTGTCAGTTTGTCGGAGAGAAGGTCAGGCATGATGGTATTGAAGGCTGAACTGAAGTCCACAAATAGGATCCTTGCATAATTCCCAGGTTTGTCGAGGTGTTGCAGGATGTAATGCAGTCCCATGTTGACTGCATCGTCCACAGACCTGTTTGCTCTGTAGCCAAACTGAAGAGGATCCAGCAAGGGTCCACTGATGTCCTTCAGGTAGGCCAGAACCAGTCGCTCAAATGACAGGTGTGTGACAGGTCTGTAATCATTAAGTCCAGTGATTTTGGGCTTTTGATGGTGGAGTGTTTGAAGCAGCAGGGAACTTCACACAGATCTTCAACAGATCACTGGAGCTGTGTGAAGTTCCCTGCTGCTTCAAACCAGTGAAATGGGGACCAGTCAGCGCAGACATTTAAACGGGCAGGTGAAACACCGTCTGGGCCTGAAGCTTTCTTAGATTTCTGCTTCCTGAAGACCGGGTTCACATCCTCTACACAGACCTTAAACACAGGTTGAATGGTGGGGGAGGGAGGGAGGGGGTTGCAGGGGTGGTAGGTGAAGGTGTGAAGTGCAGATCAGAGCGGATGGGGGGTGGTAGACTGGCCTTTTCAAATCGACAGTAAAACACATTCAGATCATCAGCCAGTTGTTGATTCTCCACAGACTGTGGGGGTGGTGTCTTGTACAAGGTGATGTTCTTGAGACCAGTCCATACTGATGCTGGATCGTTGGCTGAAAACTGTTTTCTCAGCTTTTCAGCGTAGTTTTCTTTAGCCACTCTGATCTCCTTTGTTAGTCTGTTCCTGGCCTGGTTATACAAGATTTTATCCCCACTTCTGTAAGCATTCTCTTTGTCATGGCGACGCTGTTTGAGTTTCCCAGGAAACCACGGTTTATCATAATTGTATGATAAGAATGTCCTGGTGGGGATGCATATATCCTCACAGAAATTGATATATGAAGTTACAGTCTCTGTGAGCTCGTCCAGATCGGTGGCAGCAGCTTCAAAAACACTCCAATCAGTAAGGTCGAAACAGTCTTGTAAATCCCGCTCTGCTTCATCAGTCCATCTTTTAACAGTCCTTAAAACAGGTTTAGCTGATTTTAGTTTCAGCCTGTAGGTTGGTATAAGATGAACCAAACAGTGATCAGAGAGCCCCAAAGCTGCTCGTGGGACAGAGTGATATGGATCCTTTATTGTAGTGTAACAGTGATCCAGTATATTACTGTCTCTGGTGGGTAATATGCAATATGCTGCTTGTATTTTGGCAGTTCATGGGAGAGATTTGATTTGTTAAAATCTCCAAGAATGATTCAAATAGAGTCTGGGTACCTTTGTTCCATTTCAGTTATTTGTTCGGCCAGCTGTTGCAACACGGCGCTCACGCACACGTCCGGAGGAACATACACATTCACGAGAATGAAAGAGGAAAACTCCCGCGGCGAGTAGAAAGGTTTACAGTTTATGAAGAGTGCCTCTAAGTTAGGACCTCATACCTTTTTCAGCATTGTTACATCTGAACACCAACATTCATTGATGTAAAAACACAATCCACCACCTCTCGTTTTCCCTGTTAACTCCACGATGCGATCCGCTCTGAACAGCTGGTAGCCCGGCAGATGAAGCGCGTTATCCGGAATGGCTTCACTCAGCCAGGTTTCAGTGAAGCACAGTGCAGTAGAGTTTGAAAAGTCCTTGTTGGTCAGGGGGAGGAGAAGAAGTTCATCTGTTTTGTTAAGAAGGAAACGGACATTCACGAGATGAATGCTTGGGAGCGCAGTTCGAAAGCCGCGCTTGCGGAGCTTAACCAGGGCGTCGGCGCGTTTCCCGCTTTTGCGTCTACATACACGTTTGAACAACAGCTGTTGGAGTTCGTCTCTGGTAAAACTTATAGAAGAAGAATGACAAAACACAGAACAAACAAACAAAAACATCAGAAGAATTGCGGAGCTCAGCGTCGTGGCTGCCATTTGCGGCGCTATCTCGATGTGTTTGTGAGATAAAAGGTTGCCGTTACCTTTTTTATTTTTTTATTATGGAAACGGGCTTCCATATGAAAATAACATTATAAAATAACAATTAAATCACAAATAATTTAGAAGACATGGCCACCCAGCTGGTTCTCCGGTAGTCCGAGAGCCTCTCTGTTGAGACAGCCCGTCTCAGGTGTGTCTGTCCTCCATGCTTACTCACCTGACATCTTACACATTCCTGACACATTTTTCCCACAGAGCAGGAGGTAAAGTGATTCCTGCAGGCATGTAGCTGTCATTGGAGGCATGCGTGCAGTTGTCAGCTGTGAGTGAACGGCCCTGTTTCAGCTGCTGTGGGGTGGGGGCTGGGCCCGGGCCCGCCGGGATGCAGGGTGGAGAGCAGACACCCTCAGGAAAGCCCCAAAGCAGTCGCATCCCAGCAGGCCCTGCCACACAGTTGCTCAAACTTGATCTAGTTTCCACATTAGGAGTCAAAAATCTGTCCGGCACAGACGCAGAAAGGACATACTGCACTTGAGGCTTACAATTAATGAAATATGTCACTTATTTTCCCTTTTTTTAGCAATTAATGTCTGTATTTCTCTCTCTTTTTGGAAACCACAGCAAATGAGAAGATTGAGGACATTAATGGATGCCCCAAGAGTCGTTCTCAGATGGTAAGACCTTGCGTTTTATTGCCTTCTGGTTGTGTTTTTTACTGCCAGTGTATTTTTTTAATGACTTTAATGCACTTTTGTTCATTAAAATATATTGTTAGATCTGTCCAGGGAAACATTAGGTACTAATATGTACTTTTAAAGTTCTTGTATGTACCTTTAAGATATTAATATGTACCATTTAGGAGTAAATAAGGTACCAAGATGAACCTTTTAGCTTTTTTTTACCTTAGGATACCACCCCAGTGACTGCTTTGTACCTTTTTTTTTTCGAATAATAATACTGTAATACAGTAGATTCTCGCTGATGTTGCCAGCAGGCTTATGGATATGCACTTTAATACTGTTATTTTTGCTTCTCTTGCAGTCTCTCTTTATAAACATCTGGTTTAAGGGGGGTAGTTTGGCTGAAACTTTAAAAAACTCTCAAAACCGTCAGTAAATGTGTAGGTTTGGAGGAAGCACAAGCCAGATTACAGACATAAAGTGCTATTTTAGCCAAGCCAAAGCTAAGCAAAACAAACCCTAGAAGTCTGAGTATCGCTGACGGTCGTATCACACATGAACCAGGGGCAGCGGTTGGTTTTGACTTGTCTCGATTACAAAGGCGGCTGTAAAGCCTGATTGGACACAACAAAGGGATCATTTTCAAAGGGCTTGAGGTCTATACGTGCGTTTTGTTGTTATTGGAGGTTCTGATTGTAATGGTGGTCCATTGAGGCATTGCTCTTGTTTTGACAGTGATGAAACCCAGCGGAAAGCAGCGTATGTTGGGTTTGGAGGCTGATGTGTTGCGTTCTTTGGCCAACTAGCTTTAGAAGAAAGATAATGCTGCTGTAGTTGGTAAGGATGGGAATCCTGAGGAATTTAAAGATTCTGGTTCTGATTCCAATTAATGATTCATATTTCTTGACAGTTCAAATATGGATTATTTTAAAGAAATGAAATGTTTGGAAAAATAAACATGATGTATTCATTTTTAGAGTTTACGAACAAATATAAACTACCATTCACAAGTTTGAGGTCGGTAAGATTTTTAAATGTTTTTTAAAGAAGCCTTTTATACCCACCAAGGCTACGCTTATTAAAATCGAAAAATACAGTAAAAACAGTAATATTGCAAAATATTATTACAATTTAAAATAACGCTTTTCCCTTTTAATATATTTAGTATATTACTAGGGATGTAACGATTCACTCAACTCACGATTCGATTCACGGTTTTGATTTCACAATTCGATTCGATTCACAATTCAAGATTTTTTTTTTAACAAAATAAGATTTAAGACAAATTATAAATTAAATGTGTCCTTTTATTATTGCTTGGACAAAATGTTGCACATTTCTTTGTGAAATTGAAATATAACACTATAATAACATACTAATTTAGCACTTACATATTATTGCTCTTTTGTTGGTTTTGATTGCTTCTCTTGTACTCATTTGTAAGTTGCTTTGGACAGAAAAGTCCTGCTAAATGACAAAATTTAAATATAAAGTAAATGTAAATAACAAAACTACACTGAAATTTTAAAACAAGCCCCAAATCAAATAAATAAGTAACACAAATAAAATTAATCTCTTCATATAAACAAACTAAGGCTTTGTCTGTGCTCTTTCCTTTTAAAATTAGAGGCAACCACTGCATTTTAATCATGATCCAAACAAAGATGCTGCATACATGCAACATGAGCAGTTTTTAAGCTAAATTAAATGGTATAATTTCGAGATTTGAAGCAAAAATAGAATGGTTTGACTTCAGTTTTGTGAAACTATACATAAAAATATCTGCATGAAACAGCGGACGAGCTGAATGAAACGCAGATTCACTCTCTGCCAGTAGGTGGCGTTTAAAGCATTTCCTTGGTTTCCGCTGTAAACAAAGCAGCGCTGAACTTATGAACTTTAATATGCATTATACAGAGGCAAGATGAAAAAAAAAATCCCATCTAAACTTTTCTAAAGACAGTAAGTTCCCCTCAGACATACATTTATATAAAATCCTACACCTAAATGAATCGCGATTTGTTTAACATCTCAACCGATTTGAATCGTCACATAATTGAATCGATTTTCAACCGGCTCGCGGTTAATCGTTACATCCCTATATATTACATCTACTTTAATAAATGGAAATCATTCCTGTGATAGCAAAGCTGAATTTCAGAAATCATTCTTATATGCTGATTTGATTCTCAAGAATCATTTATTTTTATTATCAATATTGCTTAATATTTTTTGAACCTGTGAAAGAAGTTATTTATTTATTTACCAACCAGAATAGAAAACTTTTGTAACATTATAAATGTATTCACTGTTGCTTTTAATCAGTTTAAGTATAAATTGTATTAAAAGTAATAATTTCTATCCCAAACAAGCAAACAAATAAACAAATATACATAATATTTTTGTAAAAGGAGTGTTTACACAGATTTTTGTAATGAGATTTCTCATGCTTTTTAGATGTGGCATCCCATAACTATATATTAAATAACAATACTGAACAAACAAAAAATATTGTAACATTTAATTAATTTATTAGTTTATCTTTTATTAAAATTACAATTGCATAATGTGTATCTTTAATCACATAATAAAGTAATGACTTGCGGTTCAATAAGTGGGTCAGAACAATTCAGTAAGCACTCTGATTCAAGTGTTTTGATTCACAATAACCAACTCATACGAGTCATTCATTCAGGAATTGGGCTTCATTGGTCTCACTGCATGTTTTGGATTCACTAAAATGAACTGACTCACACGAGTCATTCATTTAGCATTTAGACTCTGTGAATGAAACTGAATAGTCATAATGCATTAATAGAACCAAATATTGTGAAGATCATTTAATCCTGATACTTTTATTTTTTTAAATGTAACTGTTCAAATGAAGGACCTGTTCTCGTTTCCCAGCCCAACCTTTGCTTCGACCAGCTTCACAAAAAAAGTTTTGCTGGTCTTCTCAGATGTGAGATGTAGATTAGGGTTTGGGGCTAAGTTGAGTGGCCAACCGCAGGAGCTGTTCTCTCTTACCCCTCTTTCTCACTGACTTCCTCTTTCTCTGGCTCCATCAATTAGCTCCGTCCCCTTAGCAGAAAATTGCACCGTAATTTACTGCTTTTAGACACACACGGTCTTTGTGTTCCCATTTTCTTTCTCTTCTTCTTTTCATCGCTTACAGTTTTCTCTCGTTCTGTAGCTGCGTGAATGCTCAGGTCTTTTGAATTCGTTCTTCTTCTATAACTCAGCCGGTGGTGACTGTACGAGTGCGTGCATAAATCCACGTGTAATTGTATATCTCAGCAGGCATTCTGTATTTATGCAGTTTTCCTGTATGTGAGTCACTCTAAAGCTGTTTAAATTCCATATTTGTTTGTGCGTGTGTGTCTTTAGCTAGGAAGCAAAGCACTGCTGGAAGCAGGTGCAAGCAAAGCCATTATGCAAATATCATCATTGTGTGTTTTTATCAAGAGCAGGAATTGCACATCACTCTGTGAATGGGCCTCTAGCAACAGCTTACGCTGGACATACAAGCTCTTGTGTTGATTAGCATAAAGATCCATTGGGCAGAGTAATATCACTGCGACTGCTAATTGCTGACATGATACTTAACCTCAGCATTCAGATATTTAAATATGTAAACACATTAAGCTAATTAATGGAGGGGTTTTAGCTCATATTGTAAAACCGAGGAGTAGAATTTGAATGCGTTTGTCACAATAGCTTTGGAGGATCATAATATTGATGCAGCATGAAGCATATGCAAGGGTGCTGAGGGGGCTGCAGCACCCCCTGTTTTCACATGGTTGCGAATGCAACGCCAGGTTTGTTCATTTAAATGTATTCAGTTTTAGCATTGAATAATTTGTAAATTGTACGTGGGCTATAATAAACCCATGTTTATCTTTATAAACATGATTAATTTAACTTGTGATGTTTTCTATATGGGATGATTAGCCTAATACTCATGAACACATGATGCTAGCGCTAGCTTGAAACAGTTGTGCTGCTTTTTTGGTAATTTTTTTTTCAGGATTATTTGATAAATAGAAAATGTGTTTGCTTTTATTAATTTACATTTTTTGGTCAAACCAATATATTTTTGGGTTCTTAAAATATAAATAAATGGCAAAAAAAAAGTGTGATATTTTTGTGTTAAACACATATCTCTGTACTGTCAATATCAACTGCTTAAACCTTTCCTAAATAAATGTGGCGTGTTATTCTATTGAAACAATATATGTGTTACCCCTGGATATTGTGTGTTCATGTGATAGCTATTTCAGCAGTCTGGGCCAGCATCAGATTTTCTCATTCAGCTTTGGGACTGTTTTTACACCTGCTCGTTCCTTCTGATCCCTCTCAGATCATCTCCTCCTCCTCTTTAACCCACCAGCAGTTCAGACAAAGCAAAGCACAAGATAGCAGCATTTATGTCATTGGCTGTTGACACAGGGCTGCTAAAACACACAGGAAATCTCAGTGTTGTAACTCAAGTGGTGCGTATTGACACAAAGATGGTTGATTCAGCTGAGTCATTCTCTGGTCACATGTCGGGCGGAAGTTAGCGAAGCAGTTAACATCACTTAGAGCAGCTTAAAGTAATTTACTCTATCACAAAAGATCATAATCCTAATCATTGCAGAGATCATATTGACAGGATGTTTGCCTGTCTTTGTTTTTCACCTATAGTTAGTTAATTTGTTCTTTTCATGGTTTCCCAGAAAGCTAATAGTTATACAGCATTATAAACTTTCCTGAATACTCTTGTCTTTTGTTTGGTTAGTTAAGGGGAAATATTAAAAGGAGAATGATTGGCATGTTAATCTAATTTGGTTGTCTGTCAATCATCACGGGAGGGTTTTTGTGTGTGGTTTGTGCTCAGGATGGGGAAGGAATCAAAACATGGTCCACATACTTATAGAGGCATCCATCACTGCCTGTGTTTTCCTCCTCTTCTTTTAAACGCTCGTTGTTCTTGAATTTATTTGCTGTAATTT